GTCTTGTCACTGAGTCTGAGTCTGTCTATCCTCCGTCCGTCGGGGGTGAGTGTGCCCTTGGCACGGACGTCCTTGAGGACAGGCAGTTTGAGCTTGAGTGTCTTGCTGTCGTTTCACCTCGTCTCGCGTCCATGCTGCTTTGCCCTGAGGGAGACCCGGATGCACTTGACATCCCTACCCCGCGCACTTATGCTGAGGCTATCACGGGTGTGTACTCCTCGCAGATAGCCATGGACGCAGAGATGGCTTCCTGGAAATCCACAGGCACCTACGTCGACAAGGTTCCCCCTCCTGGGGCGAACATCGTTGATGGCATGTGGATTTTCAGGGTGAAGCGGCCACCGGGTTCTCCTCCTGTCTTCAAGGCGCGTTACGTTGCTCGAGGCTTCAGTCAGCGACAGGGGGTCGACTTCTTTCAGACCTTCTCCCCCACCCTGAAGATGACTACTCTTCGGGTGTTGGTGCACGTAACAGCACAGCGTGACTACGAGCTGCACTCCCTCGACTTCTCCACAGCTTTCTTGCAGGGCAGCCTTCACGAGGAGATCTGGCTGCGCCGCCCACCTGGCTTCACTGGGTCGTTCCCTGCGGGTACCCAGTGGCACCTCAGGCGGCCGGTCTACGGTCTCCGCCAGGCGCCTCGCGAGTGGCACGACACACTGAGGACGACGCTTGCGGCTCTCGGGTTTGCTCCTTCGACTGCTGACCCGTCGCTGTTTCTGCACACCGACACTTCTCTACCACCGTTCTACATCCTCGTGTACGTCGACGACTTGGTTTTTGCTACTGCCGACACTGAGGCACCGACCCTTGTGAAGACGGACCAGCACTGACTTGGGTGAGCTGTGCAGCTACCTTGGCTTGCAGATCACCTGGGACAGAGCACGGCGCACCATCACTCTGACTCAGTCACACATGGTGCAGCAGGTCCTTCAGTGCTTCGGCTTCCAGTTCTCCTCGCCACAGCCCACTCCTCTGCCTACAGGTCACTCGCTCTCAGCTCCACCTTCGGACGAGTCCGTAGAGCCGAGTGGTCCGTATCCAGAGCTTGTGGGTTGTTTCATGTACCTGATGACATGCACACGACCTGACCTTGCGTACCCTCTTAGCCTTCTGGCACGCTACGTGGCTCCTGGTAGACACCGAAAGGTGCACTGGGATGCTGCGAAGAGGGTACTGCGTTACTTGTGCAGTACATCGGGCATGGGGCTCGTGCTTGGAGGACAGGGTCCAGTTGTACTCACAGGACACTCCGACGCTTCCTGGACTGACGACCAGGCGACTCAGCGGTCGTCACAGGATTACACATTCAGTCTTGGTTCTGGCTCTGTCTTGTGGAGGACCACTCGTTCGTCTTTTGTGAGACACTATGTAAAAGTGTATTGGGGGAGGTAAACATCTACATCATCATAAGAGAACACAGCAAATAGATGTTGAGAACACCCAAGCAGATCATCAAACGTTTTCCCCATTTTCTCTCATCTCATCGTTGGTTTGACGTGGCATGTATGATGGGCAGGGCATTCCAAGCCTAACAATACATTGAATGTTATGAAATAACAAATACAAAAAAGCAATGTTGACTTGGTGTTTGCCAAAGAATGACCTAGCATGTACTACTGACATACTTGAGTTGGCTAACATGAACCAAAAAGTACAAACAGTTGCAAACTTTCAAAAAGATTAAAACAAATGGAGCAGTACTAGGGGAGACAGATTCCCAAAAAAAAAAAAGCATGAAAAACCAAGCATATGTCCATGAAACCCCCAAAATATGACCATTTTGAGCTCCACATTTCAGCCATTTGTATGGCAATCTCTGCAAAAAAAACACTGAGACTGCATTGAATAGATACCTTAAGACATGCTTTATCCATTTCAATCATAAAAAACCCCCCTTAAAACCACCCCATCAATCACATAATTCAGTAATACACATTGCATTGAGAAGAAAATAATTGAAACAATTATACAGACTAACAGAATTTCGACAATCAAATCCACTACAGTGTATCGCGTGGCTGTCGTCAGGCGCTTGCGATCTAACTGTTAGTCGCTTGTGTTCACGCTTAACGATACAGTAACCGGCGTCTCCGTCAACTGTTCACGCTGGAGAAACAGTTGACGAACTGGTTACCCTTCGCCAATTATCTATCTGGAAATAGATAAAACGGCCAAGCACCAGGTCCAGCTGGGTCGTAGTTTTTGATTTCGCCTCGGGCATTTTGGGGGGGTGGGTCGAGGTAGGTCAAGCACCCGAGCCGCGCCCTTCCCCGTGGCCATCCACATCTATTTCGGGATACGAATGACCCTCAGTTGGGGGCAAAGCCCCTCCTCTTAGGGCGCGTAACCGTTTTCCCCTGACGGTTCGTCTATCGGACTGTGCGTTTGAATTGGTAGTTACTGCGGTCGTCAGTGTTCGTCATTTACTTCGCACATAACCATGCGACTTCGCAGTCGCAACAAAACCGAGTGGAACTTTTGTGTGAAAAAGGGAACCGAGCATCCGAACGGTTACAATACGCCAGAAACGGACGGGTCAAAAATGGCGGCTTGTGATTAGATAACGAAAATATACCGACACACGAAAATAAAGACACTCGCTCACCCGAGCTTCAGTGCTATCTGTGCGATAATCACGACACTCGCCTGATGGCGTAACAGACCCAGTTTCGCTCGAAACCCTAAAATTTGAAAAAAGTACTACTTCGCAGTTTGAATACTCAGAGTCTGTTTTGACAAACGGATGGTTCTGTAGGGGAACACAACCGTCCGTTTATCGAACGTTCGTTTTCAAACATAACTTCAAGGAAAAGCAAAATGGTTACGCGCCCTTATATGTTAGCAAGATTGTCTTACCAAATACTCGCATAGCGTTGCGTAACGCAGCTTCAGCATCTGCATAACACTCGTGAAGTGCGCGCGACTAGGAGAGCGATGACAGTAACGCGGATGCCTTCGCACCTCGCCGCGCCTCCCCGCGCACTCTTCTAGCTCGTCGCCACCAGGTGACTTTTGAGTCGACTCAAAAGTCGCCGCGCCTCCCCGTGCACTCTAGCTCGTCGCCCCCAGCCCTCCCTCCACTCCCACCATCCAAAAAATCACAAGGCCGATATCGGCTGGAAAGCGTGGGATACCCCTAGGTCACACTCGGGGGGTAACCCTGATGTTCCCACCCACTTTCCCGCAGGTTACCCCAGAGGGCTGGCGATCAAAGCGAAGTGGTAATTCTCGCGATTGGAATTTCGGGTGATGAAAGCGGACCAATCAGGGGTGAGCTCCAGTTCGTTGTAACCTAGGGGATACCCCTACAGCTTCGGATCGAGCCTGCTCACCTGGTCAGTGCCCACTGTTTCAGCAACCACAGCTGACCCCAGGCACTGTACACGTTTCCATCGCGATAACAGCAGCTATGTTCAACAATGATTTCAGGTATCGAGAATCTCTGTATTGAGGTTCTACTGAAATGTTTCGCTAGGTGGCAGCAAGGATTTCGTGCACCAATCACATTTGTCCTAGTCACTTCATCAACAGAGTCCCTCCTGGATGTATTTCACAATCCCATCTCGACCACTTCCCTCATTATTTCTCGCTGCCAAGCTGTTTGAGTTCTAGGATTTCTCGTTCTCTTAAAACCGCCGCCATGTCCGCATTTTCCGCTGCCTTGATTTCCTAGACCTTTCTTGAGATTTTACCTGAACGATGAGTATCTTAGCTTCGGGTTTACTCTTTCCGTTGTTAAGCAACGTCAATACCCTGGCGATTGTAGGCGTGCATGTTAATGTTATTTTTTATCGTTAGTTGCTTATTGTTTCCTCGCGCCATGTGTGTTTCTTTGCAGGCGTCGTCAACCTCCGTGCTAGGCGCTCGTGTGTGGAGGTCTAGAGTGTGCGTTCGAGGTAAGCAAGATTACCGTAATTCACTTTTAAGTCCCTTCAATTTCATTCTGCGGCCAGCCGTTCTGGTCTGTTGGCACTCCTTATTTCTTTGTGTGCGTTCAGGATTTATCGCCTTAAAGCGCCGCTTTTGCCTATTGGCTACTTTCGTGATGGCGTGACTCGTACCGATTCAATATACGTTGACCGGTAAGTCGTTTCTGGCTGAATTGCTCAGTGTTTGTTTCAGCTATCCTTCCCTAACGAGCTCTTGACATGATCTGTTTCCTCGGTTCCCCGTTTTCCAATGCTTCCAGGTGTCTCACGTTATTGGAAGATCTGCCGCTTATTCAGTCACTTTCTAGGGTTTTGCTGTGACTGGTGATCTGTTTTTCGCACGTGCGGAGGATAGTGAAATACATTGAATAGTTTCACTGCAGTTTTGTTCATGTTCTAGTTCCATTTCTCAATAATCAAAGCTCAAGTCAGTTGCATTTGCAAACGTGTTAATTGTTGATGGTTTAGTGTGCTTGCAAAGATATGCTGGCGATTAACTGCCCAACCCCCAGGTAACAATGGTTCTCGCGTTAAGCTTTTTTATGATTAATAATTGTGGTTATATCGTGATGCGTTTTCTATACGGGTAATATATAGCCTAAAAAATAAATAGCGAGCTGTAGACAACATTTCGGCTAAAGCGATGAATTTTACAGCGCAGATACGGCTCGCGTTCGAGTTGGGTCCGCGAGAAGCGGGAATGCACGGGATTGAGCCCCAACTTCTCGGGGGGTAACATCAGGGTCACCGCTTGGGGTCACATCAGTGTGACAACGAACTGAACTTCGATCGGGGGTAACATTAGGATATCACTGCTGGCGACACTGGGGTATCACCAATCGGGGTAACCCTGATGTGACATTGGGGTAGAAATTTGCGGGGGACTTTTTTGGGATGACTACCTCTCCTCGCCCATCTCACATACTGCTCACCTCGCCAAAGTCACTTTCGGCGGGCCCGCCCTCTCACGTTCGGGGTGTGGCCATCTATCCTCCCGGGACAATCGCCAGTCTCGCTATCCCCGCGCCCGTCTTCTCACGCTTCCTGCCCTGTCCCTTCTCACGGCGAATGTTTGCCCTCAGTTTCTCCCCGGGTCACCCTCGGTTTCCCAGACCGTCCACTCCGTTTCCCCCCCTGCTTCGCCTCGTTCCCCGCCCTGCTTCCCCTCGTTTTCCCCTCATTTCCCCCCTGGTTCCCCTCATTTTCCCCCTCCCCGTCCAATCATTCCCCCACCTTCCCCTCTTTTTCCCCCCTGCTTCCGCTCATTTCTCCCCCTACTTCCAACCGTTTCCCGCTCTGCTTCCCCTCAATTTCTCCCTCCTTCCCCTCATTTCCCCCACTTCTTCCCCTCGTTTCCCCCCCTGCTTCCTCTCTTATCTCCTCCTGCATCCCCTCATTCCCTCCCCCTCCTTCCCCTCATTCCCCCAGTGCTCTCTATTTCTCCATCTGCTTCCCCTCATTCCCCCCCCCTGCTTCCCTTCATTTCCCCGCCTCCTTCCCCTCATTTCTCCGCCTGCTTCCCCGCCTTTTCCCCCCTGCTTCCCCTCATTTCCGCTCCTCTTCCCCTCGTTTCCCCCCCCCTCCCCCTCTCCTTCCCCTCACTTCATATCTGCTTCCCCTCATTTTCCCCCCTCCTTCCCCTCGTTTCCCCCGTGCTCCCTATTTCTCCCTGTGCTTCCCCTCATTTCTCCCCATGCTTCCCCTCATTTCTCCTCCTCCTCATTTTCCATCAGTTTCCACTTCCCCAGTCCGGGATATTACCAACTTCCCTCTCTACTCTCTGCCTACCCTCCCTTCTATCTTTCCCCCCTTCCCTGTCTCCTCCATTCCCGCTCCCTCGTCTTCCTATCTGCTCCCTTGTCTCTCTCCCCTCTTCCTGTCTCCTCTCCCTCCCCATTCTCTTTCTATCTCATCCCTTCCCTCTCCCCTCTCTTCCCTCTCCCCATTCTCTCTCCCCTATTTCCTATCTCCTCCCTTCCCTTTCCCCCCTCTTCCTTGTCTCCCATTTTTCCTATCTCCCCCTTCCCTATATGTTTCCTTCCCTTTTCCCCTCTTCTATCCCCGCTTCACTTCATGGCATGCCATCGCTCACAGGCTATGCTTTAAAGAGGGCGTCTCATATTTTCTCCGTTTAACAGTAGGTTGGATTTAACACTTGGTTGGCTTCCGTGACTGGTTGACGAATCACAAAATCTGTGACGAGCTGGGGTCGCGTTTCTGTCAAAACCAATCACTGACGCGAGTAACCAACCAAGTGTTAAATGCTCGTAAATATGAGACGCGAGCTTTAAACACAACCTTTTTCTTACTCTCTTCCAGCCGTGTGTGATGTGATGAGTCTATTTTTTAGTCGACTAAAAAAAAGACTCATCACACTTCATGTCATGCCATTACAGCCTATGCTTCAAAGTTCAACCACAACCTTTTTCTTATTATCTTCCAGCCCCCTACCCTCGTCGTCACCCAAGGCGACTTTTGAGTTGACTCAAAGTTACCGCAACCACAACCTTTTTCTTTTCTTCCAGCCCTCTCCCCTCTTCATCACATTCTCTCCCTCTCTAGTTATTTCAGTGACTGCGCAGGCATGCTCATTGAATGGCAAACCAGCTCAATACCTTTTTTTTTCCAGGGCCTGACGTTGAAAGGTTCAGCAATAGTGTCCCCTTATGCTTCTGCCCACTATTACTATTAAGTAAAACACAAAGATGCCTCGTTTAGACCTTTGCGTGACGGTGACCCTTTCTGGGCATGAATCTTGGAAGGATCACTCACAACGCACTCTTTTTTTTCCATATTATCCCCAGGGCTTTTGAGACGTCTCAAAAGTGACACCCTACCGGGCAGGGCATGAATCGTAGAAGGATGTCCTACAATGCACACTTCTTCCAGATTATCCCCAACGCTCACATCATGGTTCAGAGACCCACACACGTATCATGGTTCAGGGACCCACACACGTATCATGGTTCAGGACAGGGCTCTGGCTAGGTTTTGGGCCCGTCTGATTACCAAGTCCCTGAAAAATTTTCGTCTGAGCAAAATATGAGCAACTCTTGGCAGTCTGGGAATTCGTATGAACCATAAGGGCGTGTTCCTACGGCCCCTTATCAGGCCAACCTCTTATCAAGCTCGCGTCAAAACACACTGAAATTTCCCTAAACCTAAAAACCCTCGCTACTTTTACCAGGCAAGGTTGACAAGAGGTTTGCCTAATAAGAGTGTAGGAAAACGCCCTAAGACCCAGTCTGGGATTTCATACAAAACAAAGACCACTATCTGACATTTTACTTGTGCTTATTATTTTAGGGGCACAAGGGATTGAGATCTAATCTAACTATGATTGCGTTCCAATGTAAGAATATCACTTACAATCTACACACAGCGGACATTTCGGGAGGGAGGAAGCCTATCTGAGTCACTAGTGTCAAAACATGTTTATGTTTATTGTCCTGTAGGCTGTAATGGGGTAGCCCATATGGGGTACAACCCAATTAGGGTTAGTACTTGTACCCAACTCTTTCATAGTTGATCCATTCTCTGCCTAGATTCTAACATGGTATTAGAGCAGGCCAACGGTCTAGTAGGGCCCACCAACCGTTCCGCTCCGCCCTGCCCGTCCCCAAGCGCGCTGGCCTGCTGCCAACGCGCCTTCTTTTCGATGCTCGCACGAACCATCGCTGGCCCGTACAAGCTGCCTGCCCGAGTGCGCGCCGCCTGTCCCCTAGCGCCGCCTGCCCCCCCCCCCGGGCGCTGCCTGATTGCACGCGCAGCCCGCCAGCGAGTGCCGCCTGCCCGCCAGCGAGCTACCTGCCCGCGCGCTGCCTGCTCGCACGCGCAGCCCGCCAGTGAGCGCCGCCTGCCCGCGCGCCGCCTGCCCGCCAGCGAGCTGCCTGCCCGTGCCCGTGACCTGCAGGCACACGCTGCCTGCTCGCACGCGCAGCCCGCCAGTGAGCGCCACCTGCCCCCGCGCCGTCTGCCCGCCAGCGAGCTGCCTGCCCGTGCGCGTGACCTGCACGCACGCACTGCGTGCTCGCACGCGCAGCCCGCCAGCGAGCGCCATCCGCCCGCGCGCTGCCTGCCCGCGAGCGCCCCTTGTTAGAATCTAGCAGCACAAATGAATGAACTATGCAGCATGCAGGAGTACAAGTAGTAAACCCTAATTGGGTTGTACCCCATGTGGGCTACCCCACTACAGCCTACACAATATAGTTTGACACCCCTGCCTGCCCGTGCGCTGCCTGCCCGCACGCGCTGCTGCTGCTGCCCCTCACGCTGCTGCACTTGCGCTGCTGCAGGCGCCCCTGCGCTGCTGCTGCTGCAGGCGCCCCTGCGCTCTCCCCTACAGAGCCGCGCCGCCCAACCCAGGCCGCGCCGCCCTCGGCCTGCACAATATAGTTTGACACACCCCCATAGGCAAAGTGGGGGAGAGCAAGGGGTCACAAGACCAGTCTAGAGAAGCAAAGCAAGCTCAGGGTGGATCACAACGTCACCACACACTCTGAGCACAAGCAAAGGGCCACAAGGCCAGTTCACATGCAGAGGTATATAAGCAGCAAGAACAGCACAGTGATCTCTACCTAGCAAGAGCAAGCATGCAGATATATATAGATCACAGTACAAGCAGAGTCTACAGCAAGTGTGGAAACGTAGGCACAAGGCCTAACAGGGTACAAAAGCGCTGATGATCACCAGACGAAAGCGCCTTGGTGAATATATCAGCAGTGTTGGCCCGGGTGGCCACGTGAGCAAGGCGAAGCTGACCCCGCTGCTGCAACTCTCGAGCCAGGAAGTAACGCAGAGCGATGTGCTTCGTTCTGTGCTCCAGTCTGTGCTCCTCGCACAAGGCAATGGCGGCCTTGTTGTCGACGTACAGCACTGGAGGAGAACGAGGCCGCTCTCCCAGGTCAGTCAGCAGGTAAGTGAGCCAGCGTAACTCCTGTGCAGCCATGGTTGTGGCGTAGATCTCAGCCTCACAACTGGAGCTGAGAACAGAAGACGAGCGAGTAGAACGCCAAGAAACAGAACCGGAGCCAAGGCTGAAAGTGTAACCCTGTGACGACCGCTGTGTAGCCTGGTCGTCAACCCAAGAAGCGTCCGAGTGCCCAGTGAGAACCACGTCTCTCCGCCCTCCAAGCACGAGCCCCATGCCCGATGTACTGCACAAGTAGCACAGTACCCTCTTCGCAGCATCCCAGTGCACCTTTCGGTGTCGACCAGGAGCCACGTAGCGGGCCAGAAGGCCAAGAGGGTACGCAAGGTCAGGACGAGTGCAGGTCATCAGGTACATGAGGCAGCCCACTAACTCTGGGTAAGGACCACTCGGCTCTACGGACTCGTCCGAAGGTGGAGCTGAGAGCGAGTGACCTGTAGCCAGAGGAGTGGACTGTGGCGAGGACCAGGTGAAGCCGAAGCGCTGAAGGACCTGCTGCACCATGTGTGACTAAGTCAGAGTGATGGTGCGGCGTGCTCTGTCCCGGGTGATCTGCAAGCCAAGGTAGCTGCGCAGCTCACCCAGGTCAGTGCACGTGTGTCTCTTCTGCAGCTCGGACTTCACCAGGGCGAGAGCCTCAGTGTCAGCAGTGGCAAAGACCAAGTCGTCGACGTACACTAGGATGTAGAACGACGGCAGCGAAGTGTCGGTGCGCAAAAACAGCGACGGGTCAGCAGTCGAAGGAGCAAACCCAAGAGCCGCAAGTGTAGTCCTCAGTGTGTCGTGCCACTCACGAGGCGCCTGGCGGAGACCGTAGACTGGCCGCCGGAGGCTCCACTGGGTACCAGGCGGGAACGACCCAGTGAAGCCAGGTAGGCGGCGCAGCCAGATCTCCTCGTGCAGGCTGCCCTGTAAGAAGGTTGTGCTGAAGTCAAGTGAGTGAAGCTCGTAGTCACGCTGAGCGGCAATGTGCAGCAGCACCCAAAGTGCGGTCATCTTCGGGGTGGGGGAGAAGGTCTGGAAGAAGTCGACTCCCTCTCGCTGACTGAAGCCTCGAGCAACGTAACGAGCCTTGAAGACAGGCGGAGAACCTGGCGGCAGCTTCACCCTGAAAATCCACATGCCATCAACGATGTTCGCCCCTGGAGGGGGAACCTCATCGACGTAAGTGCCTGTGGACTTCCAGGATGCCATCTCTGCGTCCATGGCTGCCTGCCACTGAGAGGAGTAGGGGCCCGCGATCGCCTCAGTGTAAGAGCGCGGGGTCGGGATGTCTATAGCATCCGGGTCTCCCTCAGGGGCAAGCAGCATGGCCACGAGATGAGGCGCAGCGGCCGCAAGACACTCAAGGTCCTCCTGTTTGTCCTCAAGGACGTCCGTGCCAAGAGCACACTCACCCCCGACGGATGGAGGACAGACAGACTCAGACTCAGCAACTAGACTGTCAGGGTAGTCTAGACGACAGGCAGCAGCAAAGTCGACAAGCTCAGCGACCAAGGCAGACGCAGCAGCAGACTCAAACGACGGGTCAGTGACAACAGTGGCTAACAGACGCGTGACTGTAGGGTGCTCAGTACGAAACCGGTCAGACTCAGGGTCCGGAACGTCAGGCAGAGAGGACGCAGGAGGAGACGGCAGAGGAACAGACTGCGGAGCAGAGAAAGGACGACGGACGACGAGGTGCGCGCTGGGGACAGCCGGCGAACGCGGACGAGGAACACGACGACTGGTACGACCAGAACGAATAGGCGAGACAGGACGCGACGCAGGCTCACGACGCTCAGCAAGACCTCCTGCCTGCTCAGTGTAAGGGGAAGGAGCAGGCAGCGGTGAGCCAGGATTGTGAGAGTACGACGGCTTATGCCAGCTATGCATGCTTTCTTTTATCTTATTACGCTATTGCTAGCTTAGGTTTATTTTATGCATGCATGAATTGCTTGATTTCCTAGGCTAGGTGCTTTCCTATATTTTATTATAGTTATAGCACCGAGCTAGGTTGCGTACACCGAATTCTGGGCTATTCGGTTGCCACCGAATTGCCTTCTACCGAATTCGGGAAGGGTCTGTTCGGGACGCTTCGCGACCCCCAGAACCTTCGCGTAACACCTGGTTACTGCCCCTTGTGTCGAGCCTATATATAGCCTCGTGTTGTACCCAGGTGATCATTCAATTCAAA